CAGTTTCACAAGAATACTTTAGATTATTCAAATTATTGAGAGCAAACATGAAAGGAGAGAAAAATTATGCGAAATTTTCACACAAATTCTTCTGTAAACAAATTTTCTAATTCAATGTTTACAAATTGTTCATCACTTTATGAATCAACATGGAACGATAATTAACTCTTGCTATCAAATTTCAATTCTAAACATTTGTCTCTTATCGGTTGTCGCTTCAATCGATTGCTTAGCAAGTTAGAATGAAAAAATGATATTGATATTGAATTGAAACAAAACTTTCCGAGTATTTTGTTCATTTCCTTGGTAACCAGACAGTTTTCTTCAAAATTGAAACAGCAAATAGATCTAAATGAACTGAACGAAAGTATAACATGAAATAGAAAACGAAAAAGAATCAAAATTGTTGACAGAAATTTCATTTCATTTGTTTCTGTGTACTTTTCAACTACGAATAGACATTAACAAGTAAACCTTTTCCTTTGTTTAATCAACAACAAAAGTGAAACAAAATGGTACAAAAACTGTGCAAATAAGTAAAATATCACTTTTCCATCAACATAATGAGATGAAATTGCTCAAAATTAATATCAAGAAACATTATTAAATGAAAAATTAGAGTCAAATTACTTGCAACATTAAATTCTAATGAATCTTAATTGAATGTTGTCATCATTTAAACATCTGTAATTATGTTTGCTTTCAGTCTTCATCTAGTCTAACGATTTTCAAATGACAACATTGATTCAAAGTTCAAAAGTCTAATGAATTTAATCTATTCGTTCAGTTAAGCACGTTTGAGAGGAGAAAAATAAACTTGGAAAGTTTGTTGTCTCTGTACTGAAAAATCTTTAATATGTTCGATACTAAATCTTCAGTCCAAACTATCAAAATTCAAGGTTTGAAACTCGATCAATATGTAAATTATCAAAGAATGAAAAATGGACAAAATTTCTCAAAATTCTTGTAAGTTGAGTTCTCAGTGAACTCAATGAATAGTTCTTTGAACGCTATTCAACTCTTCATTCCAAAAGAAATGAATTGCATTCCAAATGCAAAGAGAGCTGAGCTTTGAGTGACTTTGAAGCCCAATTTTTTCTCTAAATAATTCATAATTCATCAGAATAAATTAAAGATAAAAAATGTGCTTCATAGCGATCTGAGCATTTAGCGTCACGTTTTGAATTTTTTTAGTTGTATTGCTGAGCATTTCCCTGGTTACTGTTTTGGATTTATTCAATTCACTTTTATTCCGTGGATTCACGGGATAAAAGCTCTCCCTTTACCCATCATAGCCTTATAAGTTGTCGAGTGGGTTGTGGTCAGGAGAGTTTGATGACCAAGCAAAATAGGATCGTTCGTAATTTGTTTTTGGTATAAACTCGATGAACAGTCACATGACTACAATTGATTCGAGCTCCAGCCTTTCTTACTGACAATTTTGGGTTTATTGCAATATTGCGTTCAATTGTAAAGGAATGCTGAAACAAAATCTGATTTCAAGTTGATTTCAATAAGATTGAGACTTTTCGCAGCTGAAAATTCTCTGTCTAATGCTACTCTTCCCAGTCAAATTGGTTCTAGACACCTCGCGCGGTTACCTTGCAAGAAAAGATGGAGACGATTATCAAAAGTTTTCTGTTCATTATGTTTGGTGTTTTATGGCAGAAATCACAGAAATCGTGAAAAGAGAAATCTTATTACAAAAAGGGCCAGTAACAGTTGCAGAATTGTCTGATTATAAAATGTCCCGAATTGGAAATTCCTGATCAACTAAACGGAAAATCATGATCTGCTTATAAAGGTTGATTAATCGATAAAAAGTCATTGGAGTGATCTTGTTTGATCCGTAAAGAGATAAAAAAGTTTCATGTTTTCAACTGTAATGTTAGTAAAGTCATTGCCAGTTGAAACATTACTTGAAATTAATGTTGAAACAAGAGAAACTCGACTGAATCATAATCATGATTGACCTTTATCATAATGATACACCAATTGACAACTTGGATGACCTTTTTCACTTGAATCTCTATCAGAATATATAAATTTTGTTTCACATTTTTTTCTTTGCTTTTCCAATCATTTCGACTTTACCAAGTATCATTACAACACTGTTAACCTGATCATTAAACGTCAATGTTTTCCAGTGTTTTACTCGTAAATTGATGTAAGAAGTGAAAAGGCAGAGAAGAGCAAAGTTAAAGGCAAACCAAGTTTAGTTCATTTGATTGTTCAAATACAATTTATTAACAACTTTTCCACTTATTCATTTTCATCCTGCAACTTTTCACCCTCTTCTCTACATTACATTTTTCCTTCCCAGTAAAGTTTAGAATGAAATAAATTATCTTGAATATCAAATAATCATTACATTTTTACCATCAAAAGACAATGAATTTGATGATCAACTTTTGTTTTTTCTCTGTTTCAGGCAACAAAACTAACATCTTAATTCACCATTAACCCAACCAAATAACCATTTACTTTGCTCCATCATTAGATCATCTTTTCCTCTTCATTCATACTCATCATCGTCGTCATCATTTGTAACCTCAATTAATATCTTTCATTTCATTGACATTAGTTCAGTTCCCTACAACATTGCAAATTTTATTCACCGAAATCAAGATTAACATGTTTACAAGTGATCATCACACAGACATTAAGCTACATTTAGTCTACAGTGCTATCCAAATAAGAATGACTTCAAACACGAATAACCTCGCAAAAAGAAGGGTTATTCCTTTTGAAACCGAGTCTAGAAGATTTGGACTACAATTAGCTTACTCGTCACGATTATTCAAGATCACTCTGTTATTGATCTACGACCGACATCAAATCCTTTTTCAAAAAAACAAATTTTTCTCATTGAATGACGTTCCTCAATAATCGTTGCTATTCAGAAGCTAAATGAACTTTTGACTTAAGTGACTTTGAAAAATACTATCATAGTGGAAAAAGTTTAGAAAATGAACTTCAAATGCTGATCAAAGGCCAGATAAAAGAGTAACTTTGAATGACCAAACACTTATCAGAGTAAAAGTCAAATTAGCTTCTCTCGATTCTAAAGTTCTAATCCTTCAGGCTGTCAATTATCCAGTTAACATCTAAATACCCTGTATTCTAGAGTAATTGGATAACTCGAATATGAATATTGATCATTTCCAATTTGGTTTCATTTCCATTGAAATTGAATGAATATGAGTGAGAAAAGGTTAAGCATGAAAAATGACGCCTACGCTTTGCTTGTTAACAAGTTTGTTTTGTCACATTATTTAATCAACAAATCAACAACATTGTGATCATTATTGAATTATGAATAAATTATATCACGATGATTGAGTAGTAGAGAAAAGAATCAATCATGTTTCAATGGACAGAAGATTGAACAGTTGAAATTAAATTAATTGTGAAAACAATTCAAGGTTGACTGTATTTGTCAAAATCATTGACTTTTGACATTCAACTTGACAGATGAAAGGTTTGGCCAATTGAGTGAAACATTGAAGCTGAATCAGCAATAAAATTTCACAGCCAAAAGGTTGACCTTAGCAGAAATGCAAAGGCATAAAGAATCATCAATCTAAATCTTGTTTGCTACTTTCACCCAAAAAGTGAACACACATTTAAATGCTGGCGAAACAATGGCAAAGTGCGAAAAATTTTCATTTCTGTTCAATTCTTTTTCCTGAAAATTCCATTGGCAGTAAAATCGTTGCAAAAATTCACATGAAAATTCTCATAATGCTGATGAACAATGGAAAGAAATATATTTTTCTTTCCTATTTATTTTATCCTTTTGTTTTTCATCACAAGCACATGAAACAGCATGATGCATATTCATTGAACTTCACCATTAACTGTACATTGCCTCAGCTTTTCATCAGTTTTCCTCTTGCAATAGAAATGTTTATATATGGAAAAGGCTGAAAGAACTACTTTTTTAACCGTCGATCATGAATGTTATCCGTAAATGGATCTATAGTTTTTGTTGATTTCACTGAAAAGTATATATAAATATCAATGAATCTCCCATGAGAAGATGATGAGTTTTAGATAAGATAAAAGTGAAACTAACATAAATGTATGAGCAAAATAATAACACATCAAGTAAGGTCAAATTGAACTTGCTTGTTAATATTTCAAGTAAGAAGGAAAAAAACACTTAAAGAAGGCAAATGATGATAAACATGTTGAAGTTAACAGAAAATGTTGATTTGGTCGATGATGAGAAGCAAGACAAAACGTTGATGATGTTGATAGTTTTGATCATTATCATCATTTTGGCTTTGGTCTTCTTCCGCTTGCTTGTCAAACAAATCTGTCCATTTGAACTTGAAAGGCTCTCTGGACGTAAAGAAGATGATTTTGATGAGCAACAAAAAAAGGGAGAGAAGACAGACAGACAGAGAGAGAGAGAGAGAGAAAAGTAGTAAAGCTTTTTTCTTTTTCCCATTTTCTTCATTCTGAAAAATTCTCATGGGATAACAAGGAAAAGGATCAAAACTTGACTTGTGTTCAGACCAGGTTTACAGTCAGATCATCATCAGGTCCATCAATGATGATGCTGCAAGAGTTTTGATTTTGACAAAAAATGATATTAACTGAAATTTTTTACCAATCAATATATTGAAACATTCAACTGATTTAATGTGGCAAAATTTACAGGCAAAGGTTACGATTCACTTTGGTTCAAAGTTCAACTTCATTCAATTGACTTAAGGTAAAGTTGACTTGCATTGACGTACAAGACTGACTGACTCGAGTCTACTTGATGCAGCACAGTCAACTGTTACTGCACTGGCTTGAGTAAACAGTTGGCTTTGTACGTAATAATGAAATTCAAATTTTTCACTAAACTCTATTTTACTTTTTGTTGCTGGATTTTTCATGATGACATTTGGGATTCAAATTATTCCCTGACTCTCTGAAAGTTTGAAATTGAAATCATTTAATCAAATATTGTGAAAGAAAAGATTTCTTTTTTACATTCAAATTACCTTGAGCTTTTTCTTGATCAAGTTGATGGCAATTGAAGTGAATAAACTGATATCCGATTAACACTTTATTGATGAAAGATGCAAGTTTGAAATTCACATTTGCAATTGCTGGAAATCAATTTATCTCGAAATGATGATTAAAAATTGCTTGTTCACCTTTAACAATTTTTACGAACAAAAAAATATTTCGATTGGATGGAATTGTAAATCACTAGAATTGGTTCACAATTGAATTTCTCAATGGTAAGTGACAATTAAATGGTAAATTATTTGGATTAGTTTTTGATCATTTGAAAACTTTAATCAAGTCAACATTGTCAGTAAATTCATTTGCTGGTCCATTTTGAGCTGATAAACACAAACACTGGGAGTGTAAAGTTATTTTTGAAGAGAACACAGTTTTTGGTTTTCCAATTTATTAAGCAAATTTGTGATGATATTGATAACGAAAATGATGATAATGATGTTGAATAGTTTGCTGATGTGTTTGCTATTTTGTTTCCAATTCACCCTCCCTTTGGTACAAAAGTGATAATAATGTTATGTTACCTTGAGAAAACTTGGAGCTGCAAATGAACACTGAGGAAACTGTTGGAATGAACAGAAGAGAAGCAAAAAAAGATGTGAGAAAGCAAAAAATTGAACAGAATTCTGTTAGGCTCAATATTCTCACTCCCTGTTATCCCAAGGATAGATAATGTAGAATAACAATGGAACACGCATGACTCTGTATCATTTTGCCTTCTTCATCTTCTCGTTGAGTTCCTTCTCACTGATTATTTTAAATTATATTATCTTTACTCGTATCTCAGCATTTAACATTAGCATTATTATTATGATATTTATTTTTCTTCCTTCCCTGTTTACTCCAAGAGTGATAGTTTTTTTCTGTCAATTCTGGGACTGCACTCAAAAACAAATCAGAGTTCAATCAACTCAACTCAGTTAACGTGATTGATAAAAAGAGTACCAGAATATTTTAAACCATAACGAATTCAGAGTTCGAAATTATTGAAATTCTTCGGCATGAAATGGCTTACGAAATTTGTTATTATTATATTGAAATGAATGATTAAAAAGCAGGCTATTTGCAACGCTGAATGTAAGCGACTTGTGACAACGCCATCTATTCAGAAAAGAATGTAATTTCAGAAAATGACCTTCAAATGCCAATCACATAGCAGAGTGGCCTTGAATAAACTTGACCTACACACCGAACGATTGACCTCTGATTCCCGAATCGATTGGAGTCAATTCAAGTTGAAAAGTTATTCGCAGTTAACATCTTTTCTTATAATATTAGCTGAACTTAAGGATTTATCAATCATTGAACTTATTTCCAGTGCTATAAAAATGAGTAAACCAGAGATTTCGCTATCTTAAATCATGATCTGAAGAATTATATTCATGGATAAAGATCAGATTTTCAGTTGATTATTTTTCATCTATTTTTACTGGTTTGCGCTTATTGAATTTCGGGGAAATTTGCAGGGAATTCTGGGAGTTCTCAGAATAACAAGTTAACATGAAGTAAAATTTCAACAGATTTTTTCACTCAAGAAAATTTTAATCTGATTAATTGAACAAAATTATGCTGTTCATTATTTAAACTAATATGGCAGCAAAAGGAAAATTATTATTCTAAATAATATTGTTTCCTTCCCAGCTAATATTATCGTATAAAAGGTACATTGCTTCATTCAGGTTTTGATAAGTTATTGTTAAACCATATTCTGACTCATTCCCTGTTAAGTGGATAAAAGATAACAGAATATTCTTATTTATTCATTGGATAAAAAGAAAATAGCAATTTCAAGTATTCCAAATCAAAGGTAATAAATCCTTGTTCTCATTATGCAATTATCATTATTATTACATTTATCATATTATTGCAAGTAAAAGTTGGATCAAAAGATATAAAATATCTTAAAGATAAAATCCCAGCAATGATAAGAAGAAGAAGAAACTAATAAAGCTTAATATGTTATCTTATCAAAAGTGTATGAATATGTGACATTTATGATTGTTTAAGTGTCTAAAAGGACATTATTTATTGACAATAACCTATTCTTATCAAAATAATTTCACCTGTCCTTTTGAGTTCAACTATTAAACATTTTCATCTTCCTTTCCTTTCCTTTCCTTCCCTTGATCAACATTTTTGATAACATTCAAAGTGTTATCAGATTTGCATGAATATTTCTCGTTCAATGTTCTCTTTGTTATCCCGAGCTTTATTGATATTTTGTATGCAATTGTATCTGAATCCATTTAAATTGCTCATGAAACTGTGTTTTATTGAGTTTTCATTGTAAAACTGGACAAAAAAGTACAAGAAAGTATGAAATATGAATCCATCATTCAAATGTAACTTTTTGTGCAACTGTGCAATTGATCATGAAAACATTCACAGTCAATGATGTTTTTTCAGCGCAAAAAATTTACAATGATGTCAATGATTCAATGGTTTAGGTGCAAGAGATGAAAAGTGCATAAAGGGACGAATGAACTTCAATATCATTACATGTAACTTGCTCATGAATTCCTGACCCCTGGGTGTTGTAACCATTGGTATCCTTGAAGGGCTCTTATGGTAAGATGAATCGAGTCGCCTTGGCAATTGATTGTTTGGTTGCTATTCATAGACTTGCATTTCACTTTTGGTTAGACTTCTATGCATAACTTGAGATCGGAAAAAATATTCATTTCATTAGAATTTGAAATGTAAATCACGAAAGTTGTGCAAGAATAGAAATAGAATTGATGCAGAATGTATCAAATTGAACATAAATACGTTTAGTGATTCCGAACACAAGTTGAAATCTCTTCCTCTTTTGTTATAAACTGAATAAGTTTTGTCTGAAAAGTTGCAAGTTTGCTTTTACTTTTGTCTAAAAATTGGACAACTAATTGAGCTTATGAAAATAAAGACGCAAAGTTTGTAGCAATATCTAGCTATGGATTAGATCTTTCCAAAAGTATAACTCAAGTCATAATTCAAGGCTAAATCTACTACAATTTTAAAGCTTTTCATGAGGCCTTTGAGACAAGATTTTGTAAATCTTTCACATTTTCATTCCAATTAGTTTTTTTGAATTTTGAGTCAAGAATCCATCACTCATAATCTCCAAGCTCATGAGACCTGCGGGTTTAAAATTAGCTAAAAAACTCTACTTGTCGCGAACACCTCAAATTAATATATGATATCAACCATGATTCAATATAAAATGTTTGAGAATTTCAATTCTTTATCTATTTTTGTTTTTAAAAATCGAATCATAGCAAGATGAAATAATTTCTAGACACAGGTTCGATGATATTCAAATGCAAGTTGAACCTTGTATAAAACTCTATTCATGAATTGCACCTGACGAAAAATTGAGTCTAAATTTTATGCAAATCTCTATTTATACAACATTTTCGGCTAGACGATTCGTCTGAGTTTATATTCAGTTTTGAAAGCTCATTCGTTGCAATAAAATGCTAAACAAACGTGTTCAATTCTATTCGATAGAGCATTGGGAAAATCAGTCGATTTTGTTTCAATAAACGTAAAATTGTTATTTTGCAAATAAAATTGTCTTTCTATTGAAAATCGATTAACATGCGACCGATTTATGGTTACTTAGCTGTTGTCATTCACATTTTATTCAATGTTGAAAATAATTTGTATGGAAATAAATTGGTTTAGACAATTTTTCAAACTTGCATTTTACGATTGATGTTGTGACAAAGATAACCAAAAAAGCTTCATTTTCATTCTCAAATTCAATTTCAATCTAACGATTCCATCAGATTGCAATTTCTGCAAATGGTCAGTGAAATTTCTTTGTCAATACATTTGGTCAAAGTTTTGTTGAGACTCTGAGGTGAAGAAATGAAAATTTTTGTCAAAAAAAGTTCAATAAATACATTCTCATATTGAGAACGCAAATGTGTCGAAAAGTGTGAAAAATTTCAACTTTTTTTGTTTCGATTTATCTTTTCGCTGAATGTACACACCTTAACAAGATCATTGTCAGGTTTGTTTACTCGAAATGACAGGTTCTCTCAATGTAATATCATCATCATTATCATCATCATTATCATCACGATGAACATCATGAAAATAACAACAGTAACATTAACTTGAAAATGGGTTTTACAGTTAACTTGGGATGAAAATGAAAAAAAAGACTACAAGCTTAATGATACTTTTACCTTGGAATAAAAAGGCAAAAATGAAAAGTTAAAGAAGATGAAAAGAGCGAATAATAAAAGAGAAGAAGCAAAAATGGTGAAAAGAAAGGAGATAAAGATGAAGAGAGAAGTTGAAATGCGAATAAATGAGTCAACGAATGTGTTTTTACTTCTCTGGTTTACTCTGTCTTCAAACAAAAATAACCTTAAATTGATTCACTATTATGCTGATTACAGAAGCCCAAAGTTATGGTTGACTGATAAAGCAAGATACCAACTTTGGATATCTTTTTGAGTTTTTCAACAACTCATGTTGACTTAGTAAAATGATAGCAAAGATGATAGTAATGATGAAATTGTTCAACTTGATCGAAGGTTCATCTTTTTACTCTTGGCTCTTCAATATGTTTTCACTGTTGAGACGATAAAGAAAAGAAAAAAACACAAATTGAACATGAAAGATGACAAAAGCTAAATGATGAAGAGAATAGCAATTGAATTATTCAGAGAAAAATATTTTCTCAAAGTGAATAAGTTGCAAAAGATATTTAACAGATTTAGATGCTCGTAATGGTCTGTATTTGAAAGTCCAATTGTAAGAACAAAGCAAATGTTTTCTTTCATCAAAACTCGAGTTCAATAGTAAAATTTGCTCAGAAAAAAAGAGTCGAAAATGAGTTTGGAGAAAAAAGTTTTTGGAAGAAAAAAGAAACGAAATGAGCGAATAAGATGCTTTTAATAGATATTATATTCTTCAACAATTTTTCATCTCTTTTCATCTTTTATCATCTTCCAAAGTCGGTTTCTTTTTTCCTATTTTTTGGTAACATGAGGAAAAAAAGGAAAACTGAAAATGCCTTAAGAAGTTTTACTTTTGATTTCAACTCGAATTGATATCAACTTTTTTTCTTGTTACTTTCATCTTTTGAGGAAAAAAATAATTTGAGGTTTAAAAATGAAACAATAGGATGATGTATTATTGTTTAGTTTCCACCTCTGAGTTTCTTCGTAAAACCAACTTGTGTTCAAATTCATCACAGCTTTTGACTTATCATTCATGTTTAATTACAGTTTGAGGCGAAAATTTGGAAACTATCTGAATGGAAATGTTTAGAACTTTTGTTTCGCCTTTTATTTCCTTTTCAATTTGTATTGCAATACTTGCCTTTCCTTTGCCCTCCTTTAACTTTCTCCTTCAATAATAAGATTCTTATTGATTCAGTGTGTTTTGATTATCTTGTTGCAACTGTGAAACTGAATGGTTGATAAGATTGCTTGTGACGAGGCAACCAGAGAAGAAAAGGAAATATATTTGACTAAAAGTTGAATGATGATCAACATGATGATGAGTTGGAAGACAAACTTGGTGAGTGACATCCTGATAACAAGGAAACATTCTTGTCATTTGGTGGTTATTCAATGTTGCTCAACATCCATG